TATTACTCTGAATAAGGCATCAGTTGCTGCCGCCTTTATCTGGTCCAGTGTCTGAATGTGGTGGTCAAATGACTGAGGACGAATAAACTAAAGCTGAATCCAGATAAAGCTGAGGCATTGCTGTCCGGAATGGGTGCTGCTTTAGATAAGATTGCTTTTCCTACCATCAGTGGTGGTCTCCTTTTGCTAAAAGACTCTGTTAAGAGCTTGGGATTCTTGCTGGATCCTGGTCTCCTGCTGGGGAAACAGGTTCCATGACAGTGAAAAATGCTTTTTTTCAGCTACATCTAGTTGGAAAGCTGGTGTGCCATTTGCAGACACCTGATCTGGCCATGCTTATCTATGCTTCAGTAACCTCAAGTCTGGCTTACCGTAACAAACGCTGCAGTTTGTGGCAACCTATTTGCTATCTGGGGCCAGCTCAGGATATCTATAATAGTTTCCAGGTACAATTCACAGCGTTGGTGGTCACCCTTAAAGCATCTCATGGTCACCTTTAAAGTCTGACATAGTTGAAGGACCATCTCTCCCTACATGTTCCCACATGGCAGCTTTGTTCTTTCCAACAGCGTCTACTGTCAGTGGCTAGGACATATTTGGCAACAGGCAGGACTTGAACAGAAACATAGCTATATCCCTAGGAGAAATAGTATGCAGGGCCTGGTCTCTGAGTTATTTAAAAACAGAATAAAATATACAATATGTTCTAGAATTCGGGACACAGATTTTTGGCCTGGATGAAAATGCCATGAGTTGAATATGCTTATCAGTAATGGACAGCCACAAAAAGTGGGGCTGGTGAAATCCAGAACAAACAAAACATTTGTAAATCAAAGTGAACTTTGGTGTTATAATAGTACATCATCATAAACATGTATGAATACACATATACAATAAACGTACCGCACATGATGGATTGGAGGATCCAGTGCTTCCATGAATGCCACAAGTTCACAGAAGTGTATTTTCTAGCTTTAACCCTGGCACGAAGATTCTTACACCATGCAAAAAGCTGCTTCAAACCCTTTAAAATAATATAAAGCATGGGTTGGATTTGACAGAAATTGCCCTCACTCTTGTGTAGCAAAGCTCAGGTTCATGGAGCTCATTCTACTGTCGATGAGGGAGGGAGATTCCAGCTGCAACTCCACCCCCCCCCCCCCCGCTGTCTATCACTCTACCAGTTGATTTTCACATGATATGTGGGGTGCTTTTGAAGGATGTTTTTGTGAACTCACTCCATTGATAGAAATATTGGATCCAACCCATTGTACACACTACTATGAACTTCTATGTAAAACCTTATTTGAAACGTATCATACAAATTACAGTGTTGCCTCAAAAGATTTGTGCTTCCAACAAAACTTAAATATGTAAAGGTGCTATAAGACAAGTGTTTATTAAAAAAAATCTAAAAAACAAGTTGCAAAACCACTTCAGAAATGCCATGGCACTTGACAAACAAGTTTAGAAAATCCCATCAGATCTGATTAATCAGATTAATATTAAATGTATTTATTTGCTTGTTTATTTATAGTCCATGTTTCTTGCTGGGACTTTAGGTGGATTACAGGATATAAAACAGTGCAATCAGACAGCATAAGAGAACAGTATGAACAGCAAACTATCTAAGACAATACTAAGACAAAGTAAACAGTACTGAAAGTGGAGTGCAAGGAACTGCTGTGATCAGGAGATCAGTTGGCAACCCAAAGCATAAGACATCCAAATAACACTCCTGTGGTACAGAATTAAAGGATGTTGTGAACAGCCAACTGCCTAAGGCAAGATATACTATAAACAGCGTGGTAAGTGGAATGACAAAGGTAAAGAACAATACAGTAAAAGAAGGATAATAGAATAAGCATTGCAACAAATTACAATCCTGTTCCGTTGTAAGCATGCAGTGGGTGAAAGGACACCCAGTTCTTATGGCGGTGTCAGCATGGGGCCAAATCCATTTTCAGGAAAGCCGGCCTGCGTGCCCATTTTCCTGAGTATGGGGATCTCCTTAAGGGATTCTGGCATGATGGGGCCGGGAGGGGGCACTGCCGGAGATTACCCTCACACTCAGGTAGCAGGAGAGACCACTCCTGGACGGACGCCCTTGTAGGATCCAGCAACCTGTTACCCCAGGGTTTCACACAACCCCCACAGGGAGGCTGGGGCGGGCAAGGGATCACCAACTGGCAGGTGGGTCCGTCAATAAACAGGATCCAGCACTCCATGCTGTGCCAATGCTTCTTGCAGCTGTAACCAATAAAGTTCTGGCCAGTTTTATTCCAATTTTATTCTAAAAGCAGTGTGTGCATGTTTTATTTGAACCTTGGGTCTTGGTACCGGGGGCATTGTTAAGGGAACGAGTGAACCCCCGCCTCGGTGCCCTCCTCACCTCCCTTTGGTGCTGGTGATGCAAACAGGGGTCTGCAGTAGAAGTGGAAAATCAATGGAATTGCTGCCTCCTCTTCTACAAATGGAACTTCTGTCCTTTCATAGGAACTACATCATGGGATGCATGCCACTAACATTAACAAAGAGAACAAATTGTCTGTTTAGTTCATAAAATTGCCTACTGTCTTCCTTAAATCGTAAAATAAGAAAGGCTTAGACATTAAATCACTGTAATAGGGAGATTTCATAGAGGAGGCAAAGTTGCAACTAATTTAACCAGGTTTGTAAATGCAATTGGACATCATCCCAGTGATATTTTGCAGCTAGAATAAAAATGTGTTAACAAAACTTCAGTGGAAATAAAGGTACCATAGCATTGCTTTCTCAGAATGTGCATTCATGTATACAATAAGAGGGTTATGAATCTCTCCAGCTTGGCTGAGTCTGAAAGAAATATTCTCTCTTTACTTTTCATTACATTATGAGCAATGGATTGAAGGGCATTTTGGGACACTCAGAATGAGAATCAAACAACTGGATTAGAGCTAGGTTTACCATTCCTTCTCTCTAACAGAAAATGCTTTTTGTTCTTCTCTAGACAAAGAACATAATTTTCTGTTATACTTCAGTAGAGCATTCTTTCCATGTGCCCACAGAACAATCTCCCTATTGATGTGCATGGGAAGTGCATCAGCATTAGCTTGGGGTTGAGGAGAGTGCATGAGTTTAAGACCACCCTCACAAGTGTCTTTTATAACCAACTATCGTTAATTTATCCTGTTTAACACAAAACTAAAGGATGGAGAAAGCAAACAAGCATGTCATTGTGCAAAAGAGCCATTGGTCAATGGTATGCATCTGATAACCAATGTGGTATGGGTTCAAATCCTCAGTCAGACATAAAACTCAGACTGCAGTCCTAGGTACACTTTCATGGGAGTGAGGCTATTAGATAAAATGGGACTTACTTATAGGTAGACTTGCCTAGGATTGCATCTTCAGTATTTGACCTGCTCTAGTCACTCTCCTCAAACTAACTACCTCACAGGGCAGTTGTGCGGATAACATGGTGAAGGAGAGAGCCATTTACACCCCATGAGGTCTTCCAAGAAAGGGTGGTCTTAAAAATGTTAAAGGGAGATAGACATCACTCAGGTAATGTAATCCATATTGGCCCTACTCTGTTTTTCATTTGCTGAGCAGACGTGGGTAGGTGAGACAGTGAAGATCTTACATGCAGATGTATAAGGAATTCTGTACATTGGATAAAAGCATCCAGGGTAGGGGGCACTGTGGGAGTATAGTACAGGAATTCTAGATGCCTAGGAATCATTTAGTATTAAGATCTCTGATCTTCCCTATTTCACCATTTCCTTCCAACCGTCTGTCCTCAAAACCATACAGCAGATGCCAAGTGATTCATTCTATATTTGTCCTTAGTACAGAAATCTTTGGTTAAAAATCAGGTTAACTGCTCAAATAAGTATTGGTCTGTTGTGAGGAAGAACCAGTCCTCATCAACCATTATCGTCCTCACATAGAATTGCCAAGCAAGAAGCCTTCGTTTTCTGTATGAAAGGTTTTCAGCCTCTGTATTAGAAATTCCTCTGCTGCTTTTTAGATCAAGGAAAGGG